AAAACAATCTTGAAGGTAAAGAACAAAGCTGGAATATGCACACTTTCAATTTCAAAACTTAATACAAAATTACAGTTAGAATATGATAGGAACTTTGAGATAGACATTTAGAACAATGGAACAGAACTAAGAATCCAGAACCAAATTTATAGTCAACTGGTTTTTGACAAAGGTACCAAGGTAATTCAATATGGAAAATGTTACTGATGGTATGATTATAGCATATCTGTGAAGAAACTAAAAACTACTGAATTATACCCTTATATGAGAAATTTTGTGCTACAGAAATTAGATCTTAAGATTGTTATATACACACAGATAACATTACAGGCTGCAGAGCCTAAAGAGACATGACAACTAAATATAATAAATGATCCTGTATTAAGGCCAGAGTAGAATGAAGACATTAGGCGGGCCTGCTTTGTGGTACAGCAGGTTAAAACTCCAGCCTGCAGCACCAGTATCCCATGTGGGTGCCGGTTCTAGTCCAGGCTGCTCCTCTTCCAATCCAGCTCTCTGCTACGGCCTGGGAAAGCAGTGGACAATGGTCCAAGTCCTTGGGTCCCTACACCTGCATGGCAGACCCAAAAGAAGTTCCTGGTTGCTGGCTTTGGATCTGCTCAACTCCGGCCATTGCAGCCACCTGGGGAGTGAACCAGTGGATGGAAGACCTTTCTGTCTCTCCCTCTCACTGTAACTGCACCTCTCAAATGAATAAATAAAATCTTTAAAAATAAATAGTCATTAGGTAGAAAACTGGTAAAATCTGAGTAAAGTCTGTAATTTAATTACTAGTATTATACCAATGTAAGTTTCTAGTTTTGACCAGTAAGACATAACCATGTCTGAGGCTAACATGAGAAGAAACTGGTTGAAAGTATTCTCCATACTATCTTTGCAACATTATTTAATTATTTAAAAATGAGAAGTTTTATTTATTTATTTAGTTAGTTAGTTATTTAAGTGAAGGCAGGTATTTGGCCCATCAGTTAAGACACCACTTGGGACACCAGTATCCCATATATGAGAACCTTGATTAAAGTCCAAGCTCTATTTTGTATTCCAGTTTCCTGCTAATGCATACCCTGGGAGGAAGCAGGTGACAGCTCAAGTATTTGCATCCCTTCTACTCACGTTGGAAGAGTTGGAATGAGTGCCAACCTTCTGAATTCAGCCTGGCTCATTTCCAGGTGTTACAGGCATTAGGGAGTGAATAATGGATAGAAGATCTGTCTGCCTTTCTAATACATAAAAAACAAATTTTAAGGGGCTGGCTCTTTGGTGTAGCGGATAAAACTGCCATCTGCAGCGCAGGCTTCCCTGTACATGGGCACCGGTTCAAGTCCCGGCTGCTCCACTTCTGATTCAGCTCTCTACTATGGCCTGGCAAAGCAATAGAAGATGGCCCAAGTCCTTGGGCCCCCACACCCCTGTGTGAAGACTCGGAGGAAGCTCCTGGTTTTGGATAGGCGCAGATCCGGCTGTTGCAGCCAATTAGGGAGTGAACCAGTGGATGGAAGACTTTCTCTTTTTCTCTCTCTCTAACTCTGACTTTCAAACAACTAAATAAATCTTTAAAATAAGTAAACTTTAAAACAATAATTTTTAAAAATTTTAAGTGAGATATCACTACACACAATAGAGTGGTTAAAATTTTAAGGAAGCACAATTTTAAGTGCTGCTTAGAGGACTTGGATGCCATAGAGTCTGAAAGCTAAGACAAGGATGAAGCTTCCATTTCTTCAGTTGCTTTGGAATAAAAGATCAAAGGGAATAGTAGTAATCAGAAAAGCAAGTAGCAGAATTAAAGTCTGTCAAGATTGGGGCCAGCATTGTAGCATGGTGGGTTACGCTACTGCCTATGATGCTGGCATGCCATATGGGCACTGACTTGTGTCCCAGCTGTCCCACTTCCAATCCAGCTCCCTACTAATGCACCCAGGAAATCAACGGATGATGGCCAATTGCTTGATCCTGCACCTATGTGGGAGACCCGAATGAAGCTCCTGGCTTCAACCTGGTCCAGTCAGAAGACAGACAATCTCTTGATCTGTGTGTGTGTGTTTATCTCCCTCTCTTTCTGGGACTGTCTTTCAAATAAATAATCATTAAAAAAGTAAAATAAGATAAAAAATAAAGTTAGCCAAGATAAAGCAGAGAAGTTCTAATCTTGGTTATCACACTGCTCTTTATACATCACAAATTTAATAAAAAAGTTCCTTTATTCACCAAAATTTAACAGCCACAAATAAAACAAACTGATATTCTTTAAGTAATAAGCTGATTTGTAAATAACATTTAAAAGAATTATTTCCTATTGTAGTATTAAATAAGCAAATTAAATGCTATTACTAAAAATGGAAATTTCAGAAAAGTTTTCTCCATTCTCACTGGGTCAAGCAATTCTAAAACAATGCTTTATAATTCAGTGACTCATACTTATCTTACTCAATTATATGCACACAGAACTCTGATAAGTGTATTATTTGAACCAGAAATAATATTAGAGGCAGCCTGGAAAATTCTAGGAAATTGCTACCAATGTTTTGCAATGCTTTAGTCAGTTAAGCATCTCTTTCACAGTAACCACGGTATTTCTACCCATTTAAAATTTAAATTTATAGCAAAGATTGGCTAAATGTTTCAATCCCTATGTCCTCCTCCTAGGCATAAAGAAATTTCCTAACCTTGAAAGCATTATGCTAGAATCCTACAACTAGTCTGAACAATGGGATAAAGACAAAGTAATATCCCTCCACTTCAAGAGCAGCCCCCAGCAAAATTCTTACCAATCCCTAGATGCTATCTGTGTAAAGCTGTAAGTAAAGGAATTCACAATGGACTCACCTCTTGGAGGACAAAACCCACCAACAGCAGAAAATGTGGCATAAGAGAGAAGCAGACTTACACTGCCTTAAGTCTCTGAGAATCTGGGGTTCTCTGTTATAATACTTTATATCAAATGCATGCATTAATAATACATTTAATATAATAGTTTTTCATTAAAAAGAAATGGGGTTTGGGAATGTTTGGCCTAGGAGTTAAGAAGCTACTTGCTTCCTGTTAATATGTACCTGCTAATGTGCACCCCAGGGGGCATGTGACAGCTCAAATAGTTGGGTACCTGCCATTCACATGGGAGACCTGGATCCAGTATCCAATCCGAGGCATTTGGAGTGATCCAGCAGATGTCTCTTTGTCTCTATCTCTCTCCCTTCCTCTCTCCCTCTCTGTTTGTATGTTGTCTCTCTACCTCTCAAAAAACAGATTTTTGGCCGGCGCCGCGGCTCACTTGGCTAATCCTCCACCTGTGGCGCCGGCACCCTGGGTTCTAGTCCCGGTTGGGGCGCCGGATTCTGTCCCCGTTGCTCCTCTTCCAGTCCAGCTCTTTGCTGTGGCCTGGGAGGGCAGCGGAGGATGGCCCAGGTCCTTGGGCCTTGCACCTGCATGGGAGACCAGGAGGAAGCACCTGGCTCCTGGCTTCAGATCGGCACAGCTCGCCAGCCGTAGCGGCCATTTTGGGGGTGAACCAACAGAAAGAAGACCTTTCTCTCTGTCTCTCTTTCACTGTCTAACTCTGCCTGTCAAAAAAAAAAAAAAAAAAAAAAGATTTTAAAAAAAAATAGTAAAATAAGGAATGTTCATCTGTGCATCACCCAAAATCATCTTATATATTAAAAAAGCTAACAAGAGTTCCAATCTTCCAAAACTGTGAGGAAAGTATTCAACAAGTGAAGATATGAAAGGAACAAATCTTTTGGGAAGAAAAAGAGTTATTAAGTAGAATTCAAATATAGCTTTAATAGCATGTATTTAACAAAGATATAATATATATGTGCTCTAATAACTCAGTATCAAAACAATTTTCAGAATTCATCATTCACCTATCCCTACAACAAATAACACCTAAAGAGCAACATGTAAATCTACATTTTTACCATTTCAACGGGTATTTTTCTATTATGTTTTATTTCTCATTTCTAATTAAGTGATTTTCAAAACCTGTTTTTTTACATTACTTTTTGTTTAACTAAAAGCTAAGCAGAAACTATCCTAAAACAGATGCTCCTCAATTTATGAGTTTCATCTTAAGTTGAAAACACATTTAATCCTCCTAACCTACTGAACATCAGAATTTAACAACACAGGAAACACACTACTGAGTAGCAGTTGTTTACCCTCATGACCATGTGACTGACTAGGAGTCCACCATTGTTACCTCCAGCATCAGGAGAGAGTGCAGTACTGTATACTGACAGCTCAGGAAAAGATCAAAATTCAAAATTTTGAAATTGGGTTTCGACTAAATACATTTTGCGTTCACACTATCATAAACTCAAGTAAAACTGTCATTCAACTGGAAATCATCTATATATTTAACTAGTTACATAAAGACTTTTATAGTATGTGATAACTAGATCTAAAATTTATCAGAGCACCTAAGTGAAAGATCAATGAAAATTCTTCCACAACCCACTAAAATGTTTGAGATCAAGTCTACTTTTCAAAGGAGTTTACATTAAGCAGGTATATTAATATATATAAATACATAAATAAATATATAATTAAGCAGGTTAGTAATATCAGATGTAATAAATGAATTAAAGACAAGTTCCTTTCCTACAACTTTCCAAAATCATTTATTTTTAAGATGCCTCATGAGTTTATGAAAAGGAAAATTTCTCTTACTGAATTTTACTATTTTTATTAGAAAATAAACTATTCTGAGTGCTTGGGCAGACATCAAATAACATGAGCTTTTCCCCACAGTTGCATTATCCTCATCAGATGAGAGAAAACTTGTAATAAAAATAAGCGAATAATATTGTGAAGAAAGGCTTTTTAACCTCTTAATATGTTATCAAAATATTTCTTTTGTATTAATCTACATAAAAGGAGAGCCTGTTTTATAGTTTCTGACTCCCACTTCTTTTAATCTCATTTTTTAAAATTTAAAATAATAGTTATTTTTAAAACATCAATCAGTAGAAATAACATACTTATCAGATTTCCTCTTGCATCCCTGAGAGGAGCTCCACCTCCACCTTTTCCCCAGGGGTTGTAACTTCTCATTTCTGCTTCTAATTTAGCTTCATATTCTTCTTTCTCTTCACGTTCTTTCTTCCTCCTTTCTTCCCTTTCCCGAATCTTAATAACATAAGATATATTTAAAGTAAATGCTGACAAGCACTCTGAAACAAGAGGTTAGTAATATCAGATGTAATTTGATTTTTCCTGTTAGAAACAAAAAACTAGAGTTTTTTTTTAGTACACTTCACTACAAAGTCTAAAATTACTAATATAGGTAAAAACCTAATTTAAAAACACTTAGATAGCTGAAATATATAGCTACTGGACCCCGTATCATGCCACCAAAGGCCTTTCTAGCTACTAACTTCACTTGAGACTCAACTTACTCCTCCTTCATATCCCCAGCTTATATCAGAGCCATTCCCTCCCTAACTACGCTGGTTCCATCAGAACATTAGGATTTCCCTACTTTACTCTTCTATCTATCCTTTCATGAGAACTGCTCAGTCACAAAGTCTACTTCCTACCTCACCAGACCTTCTATCCCTAGGCAAACTCTGTTCTCCAAATTGAAGATTCAAAGTTCTTTGAAGAATAATAGCCTACTAAAATACAGCTAAATGACTGTACATAAAATATATTCTTGAAATCACTAATAAGCATATGATTGTTAGAGACATATGAACAGTGAACATGTATCTACATTTTAGAAATTCACTTTTACAGTCTTAACCATATACATAGTAAATATAGGCAAGATTTCACTCCAGCGTGGCCAAAGAAATCACCATATACAGAAAACAGACTTTCCAATTTCGAAAACCTAGTTTTGTCAGTTGTATCAATATTCTCATTCATAAACAGATTGTGAATTCAAAATTCAGTCTTTCACATATAGAATCCTAACATTTTTCTAAAGAGTTGATAATGCTATCTTTCAAGAAGGTTGCAATGTAAAAGTTGAATGAAAATACTTTAAAAAAAATCCAAGTACAACTTTACAGAAAAGTACTCCAGTTAAATATATAACTACACCAAGAGTCCAGGGCCCTCTTGCAGATAAGGGAATTCCCCCAAAACCTCTGCATTTGATGCAGATACTCTTAAGTAAACACTATTCAAAATACTACAAACTACACAGAACTATAATTATACACTCTCCTATCATGTTATTCTTCCTCTATTTCCTATCTTGGTTTACAGCCTCATTATTCTCTTTGATTAGAATACTGAGAATCATCTTCAAGTCCCTAGTTCTGTATCTTTCCCTATATCCAAGTCTTGTTAATGAAACCTCACAATTGTGTCTTGATGGCTTCCACATTTTCCCATCTGGTTCAGAGCTTCATTGCCTCCTAGTTAGACTATTTCAATAGTTCACTGTAAGATTTACCTGCCACATTTCTTTGCCAATTATACATATCACAACCAGTTATCTTCCTAACAGGTCAATTTGTTCACATCAACCAATCTTTTTACTCTTTACTTGGCTTAAAAATCTCTTTCCTACGGCTGTCTGTAACAGGATGAAATTGAAAGAACTGTAACAGCTAGTCCTTCACATTCTTCCATCACTATCTTTCACCTCTTCCCCTATACCAATTCTATTCTCTGGAGAGAACAGGAATGTGTAACCTATTCATTATATAACATACAACTCAAATATAAACTACCATGTGAAGCCCTCCAACTGCTAAAGGAAATTAGTCTTCCTATCCCATGCTTCCAACAGCATTCCAGTATAACCACCTCAAAACGTGTCATACTGAGTTACAACTGACTGTGCTTTCTTTTTCCCTTCCCTGTCACACTGTGATGTCTAAGGGACCACCACGCTAACACACAAAATGTTTAATATCAAACAAATAAGTGAACAGATGGATACCTGCTGCTGCAAAGCTTCTTGGTAAGACTGAAGAGACTGTCGGGAAGGTTTTGGTTTATCTTCAAAAAACAATCCTGAATTTACTGTTCTATCACTTGTAACTTTCAGTTCATTCTGTCCAATTGCATTCCTGCATCAAATACACAATTAAATGTGAATTCATCTATTATTAAGAAATAACAAAGTTTAAGAAAAGGCTACATTCATGACATATAAACGCATTTAGAAATAGAGAAGGGTATTTCTCTATATTTCAAAGAAGAATGCTTAAAGTAAGTGACCCCTTCCTAAGTTCTCCCTCCTACCTTTGCTTTGACAATCCATGGAACTATCAAGTTCACTGGATCTATTTCTTGACCTACATGGCAGTTGCAGAAAAGTGAAAACACTATATAATTCATCAAGCAATAGATACATGACTTAGATACTTTTCTGAATATATAGAAATAACACACTGAAGTATGTCACTACTCAAGTAACACCAAATAATGATTTAACAACTTCCTAGCCATTTCAAAAGTAAAACAATGTAATTACAATAAAAAGTCTGATTGCTGCAAATAAAATAAAAACTGTTGAAAAACTCATCAAAAACAAAATTTTTAAACATGTTGATGTTACAGAAATCATACACAATAAAGTGTTGTTTCTTAAGTTCTACACATTTAAGTGCAGGAATGTATCCACTTTGGAGAAAATAATACATTTTTAAAATGCAAATTATAGAATAAACTCAAATATTAATAAAGAAATCATAAAAAGAAACTACAAATGGCCATCGTACTTCCAAATACATCATCATCACCTTAAACAATGAGCTTGTTTTGTGCATCTAACTTACCCAATTCATTTTTAATCTTTTATTAGGCTAAACAAATATGTTTGCCCTACACTGTCACAGTGAATGATGAGTGGGCAAAGGGGAAGATAAGGAGAACAAGAGCAAATTGTTCCCACTCGACACTATAATTTTTCAGAACAAGGGCACTCTTTATGTGTGAATGAATAAAGAAGACTGAGATGGTTTATCTGAGTAAACTCAATCTCTCAAAATATACTGGTAAACAGATTTTCTCAGCTTCTATTTTACTCATTATCCTTCCTGCCTTCTACTCCTTTCTCACAAGTTTTTTGTCCTATATTTATCAACTCCTTCCTGATCCAATGAAAATAGGGTTGAAGGACGTATATACAGTCAGATCAGGACAGGAGTAAAGTAGGAAATGATAGGGTATTAAGTATACAATTCAGTTATTTTTACTAAATTGATAGAATTGAACAATCATCACTATAATCTAGTTTTGAACCATTTCCATAACTCAAAAAATACACCCCTTATACACATTTACAACCAATCCCCACTCTTATCGTATCCCCAAGCAATCACTAAGTAACTTGCTTTCTGTCTCTATAGATTTGCTCTTTCTGGACATTTTATAAAAACAGAACCACATAGTATAGATTGATTTGTTCACTTAGTATAATACTTTTGAAGTTCACCCATATTGGTTCTGTAATTCACTCTTTTTTAATGCTGAAAAATGTATAATTTATCCATTCACTAACTGATGAACATTTAAATTGTCTTCACTTTCTGGCTATCATGAATAATGCTATGAACATCCACATGCAGTCTGTGTGTATGGTTATTTTTATTTACCTTGATGACTCGAAGTAGAATTTCAGAATTATATGGTAAGTTTAAGATTTTTTAAGAGGTTGCCATTTCCTGTAACTGCTTTTTATGTATTAATTTTTTTCTTATTTAGTAACTCTACTGGAACTCTCTCCTTAATTCCATTATCTTTAGATAATTCCATTATCTAATGTTCTTTTGAAACTGTATTAATTTATTTCCTCTTCCTTTTTAATACTTGTACCTATCTTCCTTCATTTCTTACTATTTTCAGCTTTGCTGAAACCATTGGTTCCCCCCCAAAAAAAGTAGTAACAGTAAGAAAACTCTCAAAAAGAATGTTTAAATGTATCACTATTACACAAATATACAATGTAGGTTCTTCACATTTATACTGTTTCAGTTAACTAGACAGTATAAATTACTTTTAAATTACTTTTTAATTCTTCTCTTCTAATTTTTCTGTTTAAGTTTTTAAGTACTAATGGACACTAAGTTTTACTAATGGTTTTTCTCTATTGACATGATCATGTAAGTTTTCTTCTTTATTTTGTTAACAAGGTCTACTACAGTAGCTAATTTTATTATAATATTGATATATCTAAAACCAATTAGCTCTTAGTATTTATCAGACACTGTCACAGACATTTTACAAATTTTAATTCATTCAATCCTCTTAAGAATCCTTTGCGTTGATACTACTAGCCCTATTAACAGGTTAAGGAATAGAAGTTAAGAAATCTGCTTCAAGATAATGAGCTGTAACAACAGGATTCAAATCAAGGCAATCTGGCTGCAAATTCCATACTCTTAATTGATACGCTCTACTATATCTAATCATCCCACATTCCAGAGTCATTCTAATTTAGAATAAATTGTTCTTTTTCTGCATCGCAAGGCCCAGTTCTAGAGTTCTTGTGCCTAAGTTCTAAGTGCAGGAGGAGAAGGGCAGAAGAGGAAAGGAAGAGGAGTAGGGGAAGAAGATGAGAAATGGAGGAGGAGGTAGGAAAAAGGATTAAGAAATAGAGGGGGAGAGAGGAAGGGGAAATGAGGAAGGTAGGGAAGGGAAGGAATCAAATAGGAACAAAGAGTATAACAACTGAAAGCAATGGGCTAGTGTTCTGGCATAGAGAACAAAACCATTGCCTACAATGCTGAATCCCATATGAGAGCAGTGGTTCAAATCCCAGCTGCTCTGTTTAATCCAGTCCCTACTAAAGTGCCTGGAAAGGAAGCAGAATATGGCACAAGTATATGGGTACCTGCCACCCACAAGCAAGACCTGGTTGGAGCTCTGGGCTGTCAGCCTCAGCCTGGACTAGCCTCGGCCACTGCAGACATTTAAAGAGTGAACCAGCAGGAGGATACCTGTCTCTCTCTCTCCCTCTGTGTCAGTCGTCCTTTCAGATAAATAAATAAATCTTTTAAAAAGAAAGAAGAGAAAAGAGATGATTGGGTTGGATTAGATTCTCCAGGGAGGCTCAAGGGCACACACCTGAGCAGGCAGCAGTGAACTTGAATACATGTAAATTGAGTGATCATAGCCTGAGAGATCCCCTGGGACACCATCAAATATATCAATATATACAAAAGGACAGTCTCATGAAATATAAAGGGATGTAAACAATATTTGAAAAAAATCATGGAGAGAAATTTCTCAAACATGATAAAGAATATTATACATTAAACAAGTTATCAAACTCCAAGTCAGAAAAGCTCAAAGAATTCATACCTACACACATCACAGCCAAACTGTGAAAGACAAAGACAAGAACAAAATCTTAAAAGCAGCAAGAGAATAATCACTCATCATATACACAGACTCCTCAATGAGATTAACAGCATATCAGAAACTATGAAAGCAGGCTACAAGTCAGTGGTAGGATATATTAAAAGTACTGGGGGGGGGGGGGGAAGGAATGCCACCATGCAGAGGGCACTGGGCACTGAGCTCTGAGCCTAGAAGATACCTGTGCCCAACACTGAGCAGCTGGGTCTGATTCCCAGCTCTGGCTATGGACTCCCTGTTAATGCAGATCCTGGGAAGCAGTGATGATGGCTCAATCGAGTTTCTGCCACCCAAATGGGAGATTTGAATTGCATTCCAATTCCTGGCTTCAACCCAACCATTGCAGACATTTGGAGAGTCAGCCAACAGGTGGAAGCTCTCTGTCTCTGCCTAACAAAAAATTTTTAATAAAATGTCAACTAATATAGTACTATATCAACCAAAATTATCCTTCAAAAATGAAAATGAAATTAAGACATTATTACTAAAACATTAAAGTCATCACTACCAATTCTGTTCTGTAAGAAATATTACAAAGAGCTATTCACACTGAAATGAAAGAACATTTGATAGTAACTGTAGGGAGCCAGCGCCATGGCTCACTTGGTTAATCCTCCACCTGTGGAACCAGCATCCCATATGGGCGCTGGGTTCTAGTCCAGCAGAAAATGGCTCAAGTGCTTGGGCCCTGCCACCCATGAGAAACCCTAGTTCTTGACTTTGGCCTAGGCCAGCCCTGGCCATTGTGGCCTTTAGGGGAGCGAACCAGCAGATAGAAGACGTCTCTCTCCATCTCTCCTTATCTCTCTGTAAACTCTGCCTTTCAAACAAATATATAATTCTTAAAAACAAAACAAAAAAACTGAAATCAGGCAGAGTTGGAACTTGAACTCAGGCCCTCTAAAATGAAACATGAGCATCCCAAGCAGCATTGTAACCACTGCATCAAATGCCCACTCCAAAAGGATCTTTTAAACAGAAAAGAATCACAACAGCACTAAGATATAACAATTATAAACATTTGTGCAGGAGAGCATTTTGGCATTTTGCCCTTGTTTGTGTGCCCCATATCATAGTGTTGGAGCAAATCCCAGCTGCTCTGCTTCTGATCCAGCTTCCTGGTAATGCACCTGGAAGGCAGCCAAAGATGGCCAAGTACTTGAGTCCCTACCACCCATGTGGGACACTAGGATGAAGTTCCTGGCCCCTGGCTTCATTCTGGCCCAGATCAGCTGTTATGGCCATTTTGGGAGTAAACAATATGGAAGATCAATCTATCTCCCTTTCCTACTCTGTCACTCACTCTACCTTTCAAATAAATAAATAAATCAGTTTAAAAAAAAATCACACATCTAATAACAGAGTCCTACAATTAAGGAAGCAAAACCTGAGATTAAAATAATAGTTGGAGATTTCAATACCTTACTTCTGGGGGCTGGCACTGCGGTGCAGTGGGTTCATGCTCTGGCCTGAAGCACCAGCATCCCATATGGATGCCAGTTCGAGACCTAGCTGCTCCACTTCCAATCCAGCTCTCTGCTGTGGCCTGAAAAAGCAGAAGATGGCCCAAGTCCTTGGGCCCCTGCACCCATGTGAGAGACCCAGAGGAAGCTCCTGGCTCCAGATTGGTGAAGCTCCAACCATTGTGGCCATTCGGGGAGTGAATCAGTGGATGGAAGAACAAACTCTCTCTCTCTCTGCCTCG